GGAAAAGATGGGAGGGGGAAACTTGGAGGATCTCGAGCTCAGGCAGGGGGGAAAAAGGTGGTACCAACTCATTCCAAAAATGTACAGGGAACATGAGAAGATAAGACTGGGGCAAAAGCTAAAGAGGGAACAAAGAAGGAGCCCCCTAAGAGAACTGATAAGAAGGGACATACAAGCGGAGTAGAAGGGAAAAAACGTGGCCAGAAGGAAGGGGTAACGATTGGGAACCCACAAAAACAAGCAGATGGTGCGGGGAACCTATCCCCTTTGGTCGATAGATGAGGCTGCTTAGCTATAACTGTCGTGGCCTGGGAAACACACGGTCAGTTAGAGATTTGAAGTCGCTTCTCCGACAAGTTTCCCCTGATGTGGTCTTCCTAATGGAGACAAGACAACTGGAGGATGAGAATGAGGTAACGAGAGAGAGCTTGGGTTTTAGAAAATCCAAGAGCTGGCTGACTGACACTTCCAATGGGGGTAAGGCGGGCGATCTTTGTCTATGGTGGAAGGAAGAGGTGAATTTGACGGTGATGGATGGGTCGCTCCATTTTCTGGATGCAAAGATTGAGGAAGGTCGTGATACTATTTAGAGATTCACGGGTATATATGGGTGGCCAGACTTGAGAGAGAAATTTTAGATGTGGGAATTGCTACAAAGGTTCGCAGACCAGTGGACATGACTGTGGATATGCGGTGCCGACTATAACCAAGTGCTATCAAATAATGAAAAGAAGGGTGGACATGACGCTAATGAAGCTGAGATGGTGCCGTTCGGTGACTGCCTTGTGGATACTGGATTGCATGATATGTGTTTCGAAGGGTATCCTTGTACCTGGGAAAACCGACGCGGAACTTATTGGTATATTGACGAACTCCTAGATCTTTGTGTGGCCAATGACAACTGGAGGTATTTATTCGGAAATGCTAGGGTGTTGAATGGGAAGTCTGGAAGATTAGATCACATGCTAGTACTATGTGATACTCTTGGAGCGGAGGATGAGGAAGTGAAATGGGGCTGTTCATTCATATTTGAAACTCACTGGGCGAAGCATGGAGAGTGCCCAAGAGTTGTAGAGGACGCATGGAATTTAAATGGAGGCATCGTTTTCACAAAGTTTGACACAGATTAGAGACAAGCTCTTGGATTGGAGTCACACTATGTTGCCAAACTTTGGGAAGCATAAACGCCGCATCAAGAAAGCCCTCAGGGCACTTGATAGTGTCCCCAAAACAAAAATAGTCCTTCAACATTGGCGACAATTACAATCTGAGATGGAGGAGCTCGAGTGTGATGAGGAGTTGTTTTGGAAACAACGGTCGAGGGCAGATTGGCTACTGGATGGGGATAAAAACACAATTTTTTCCATAAGAAGGCAACTGCGAGAAGGAGGCGAAATCGATTAACGATTACAGGATGAGTCTTGTTGATGGTATAGAGGTATAGAGGAAGCTTTTACTTGCCTGATTGATTATTTCGGCAGTCTTTTTCAGGCGGGAGAACGACCTACCCAGACCCTGGTGCTAGACTCTGTGCGGTCTCAGGTTACGATGGAAATGAACCAAGATTTGTTGCACCCATTTTTCGAGGGAGGAGATATATGGAGCTCTTCTTCATATGGGGAAGAAGAAGGATCCTAGGGAGGATGGCTTATCGGTACTATTCTTTGTGAAGTTCTGGCACATCATGGGGGATGAGGTTATAACGTTGATCATGGTGATTTTTGAACAGGAAAGTCTACCACCCAATCTCAATCATACATTAATAGCCCTAATTCCAAAATTCAAAGACCGTGCGATGGCTAAGGAATTTAGGCCTATTAGCCTATGTACTGTGTTTTAGAAAATCATAGCAAAGACTCTTGCAAACCGATTAAAGGGGTACTTAAATGGTGTTAACTCTCCAGAACAAAGTGCTTAGTGTTGGGGAGCTATATTGCAGATAATATTATGACGGTCTTCGAGTGTTTCCACACGATGAAGATCAAATCCAAGAAAAATAGAGGTTTCTTTGCCGCAAAAATAGATATGGCAAAGGCTTACGACAGAGTTGAATGGTGGTTCCTGGAGGGGATAATGAGGAAGATGGGGTTTGGTGATAGGTGGATTCGGTTGGTGATGATGTGTGTCACGACAGTCTCTTATTATGTTCTCGTGAATGGCCACAGGTCGCCTATTTTTACTCCGAATAGAGGATTGCGGCAGGGAGATCCCCTTTCACCATACATGTTCTTACTAGTGGCGTAAGGGCTCTCCTCCTTTACTGCGAGGGTTGTTCTACATCTCTGCAGGTGGCCAGGGGTGCTCCGAAAATCTCACACCTGTTTTTTTATTGATGATTCTATCTTTTTTGTCGAGGCCACACTAAACAAAATCATGGAACTGAAGCGTATCCTAAAGGCGTATGAGCGCGAATCTGGGCAGCTAGTCAATTTCAACAAATTGGAGGTTTCGTTTGGTGCAAGCATCAAAATGCATCAACGACTGCAGGTGGGCTCTACTCTAGGAATGAAGGTGGTGGCGAAGCATGACAAGTATCTTGGTTTGGGAACCGAAGCATGACGGTCTAAGAAAGAGCTCTTCGTGACCCTGAAGGAACGAGTTAGGAAGAAATTATCGGGATGGAAGGAAAAAACTATGTCCATTACGGCACGTGAAGTACTCATAATTATGTGATGTCGGTGTTCAAAATTCCTAATAGGATCATTGACGACATCCATAGTATTGACATGCGGTTTTGGTCGGGACAACAAGGTAACAAAAAGAGGATTCTGTGGATAGTGAGAGAGAAACTGCTAGCTTCTAAGGTGGAGGGAGGAATGGGGTTTCGAGACTTGAGAGGCATGAACCTAGCTTTCCTAGAGCGACAATTGTGGAACCTCCATCAGCGCCCACAGTTCCTAATTGCCAAAGTTATGAAGGCTAAGTATCATAAACATGATACGATGTTGGAGGTAGGGATGGCAACAAAACCCGAACCCACGGGTACCCACCCGACCCAACCCGGTTAACGCGGGTAAAATCCGTGTTGACTTGTTTTGGACCGGGTTCGGGTTTAAACCCGCTACACTATTCATCGGGTTGGGTTGGGTTTGGGTTTAGGTAAACCCGCCCCATGGGTACCCGTTCACACACATATATTTACTTACCCGATATATTTAATATTCTAAATAATATATCTTTCTTAAACAACTAATATTCTTTATGTTTGTGGAGACATGTATAATTTGTTCTTTCTAATTGTTTAGAATGAAGTTGATATTATGAAGTGGAGAATGAAGACACTTAGTTGACGAGGAAGAAGCTTTCAATTAATCTTATTGTTTATAGATGTTTATCTTTAATTTTGAACAATTTGTATTGATCATTTGCGGTTTGCTTGTATGCTCTAGATTGGTGTCTTTTGTATGATTAATTTGTATGAGAAAATTGATGTTAAACTTTTATTTTGAAAGAAACTTGTTATTGTAAATTTTTTACCACAAAAACCCACGGGTACCCATGAACCCGCGGATACCCAGCGGGTTGGGTTGGGTTTGAGTTTTTCAAACCCAACGGGTTTTACCCCGGGTTTTTTTGGCAGATAAACCCATGGGTTTGGGTTTGGGTTTGACAAAACCCGCCCCAACCCGACCCATTGTCATCCCTATTTGGAGGCGAAGGTGGGTCCTCAACCGAGTTTTGTATGGAGAAGGATGAGTGCATAGGAATGGTTATACGATGGTTTGAGATGGCGGGTGGGGAATGGAGATAAAGTAGTTTGATCATGTAGAGTGATCAAACAGTGGACTTTGGTCCTGAGTTTTCGAAATGTTTGATCTATTAATCAAGATGCCATAATAAAATTGATAATTATCAGGGGAAAAACTCAATATTTCAAAACCAAATGCTTTATGCTGAGATTTACTTTTAAGCACTTTGAGCTAACAAAGATCTGAATGGCCGATGTGTGCTTGCGGTAGTGCGAAGGGAGCGTCATCAATGAAGCCTGGAGGTGGCAGAACTGCAGGCAATCCGATTTGCTCTAGAAATGGTGAAAATGAATGGATTGACTCCGGTGATTGTCGAATCGAATTGCTCGGTGGCGATTTCGAAACTAAGGGGGGTTTCCCAGTCTCACATGGAGGTGGGCAGGCTTGCTGAAGAGATTAGAGAAGAGACTTCTCGGGTGGGTCAAGTGAGTTGGGATTTTGCCAAGAGAGAATGCAACTAGATAGCCCACATGATGGCCTGTAAGCTTTGCAGTTGGGATACAAGGCAAGTCTGGCCAGATAGTCCACCTGCCTTGATTGTTCAACTTCTTCAGTCTGAATGTACCCAAACTTTGAGTGATTAATAAGAATACATCCAGATGTTCTATAACAAAAAAGATCTGAATGACCATGTTTCTTGCTTTGATGAATTCACCTTGTACATGATGAATGTCGATATTTGTACATGAGCATACATGGTATTTTTGGTGACGCATATGGAAAAAATCCATCTCATTGCAAATAGGGTTGGCTATTTGGTCCGGACTGTTTGGTTTTACCCGAAATCGGACCGTATAATCCGGATCGGGACCGGACTGGGACCAGATAGCAAACAATCCAATCTCATATTCGGGCATAGATTTGAGGTAAAAAAACCCTGATAAAGACCGGATAAGAGACCCCCAACACCTAAAATCAAGATCAAATTGGGACCGAACCGGGTCAAGACCGGACTGTATCCAATTCAATCTTTGGTCCTTATATTCCCGAAAATACCGGACTTATATCACGTCAATAAAAATTGGATAATAGAAAGAGAATAAACAAAGTAATTGCACACATATGTTGTAAAATATTTACCGAGTTTGATCCACAACAACATAAACTTACAAAAGACAAACACAAAAATAATTCTGAATGAAATATATCTCCACCACGATTAAATCTGAACATTTAACGACGTGGGTATACTTTTGTGACATCGCAAATAGAAAACAGTGATTATTGGTTAACGAATTGGATATATATAACCTAGCCAGAACCACCAAGAAGAGCTTTGAGCTTCTTCACCTCAGCTTCATCAATATTCGTCGTCTTCTCCACCAAAAACGACGAGAAGTCGTTGCCAAAAAGCGCCGAGCTCACCACCTGAACCCCGGGGTCCGAGTTGCTAAAGCTCGCTATCACCGTGGCGTGTTCCTCCCCCGTGTTCGCCTGGAAGTGGAAAAGCCCCCGCGGGAAAACCATCACTTCCCCCTTGTTCAGCTTCTTGACATACACCACGTTGGACGGCGCCCCGGAGATGAACCCGGCCGTGACCGAACCTTCCGCCACGTAGATCATCTCCGAGGCTGCCGGGTGGGTGTGGAGCGGGATCGCGCCACCGGGCTCGATGTCGGCCCGGGCTACAGCCAGGCCCAGCCCGTTCAGGCCCGGGAACTGCTGGACGAATCCCGGGACGGCCACGGCCTTGTTGATGTTGGTGGTGTTGCCGCCGCGGACCAGGGTGGTGAACACGAAGTCGTCGGCGGTGACGTTGGTGGGGTTCTTGCACGTGTAGCCGGTTGTGGTCATCCGGCTGGTCAGATCGGCCACGCAGAAATCCGCGGCTTGGGTGGAGTGGAGATGTGAGAGCAAGACGGCGGAGAGAAGGATGGAGAAGGAAGGATGACGGTGAAACATCGTCTGTCTTGTGACTAAGGTAGCTAGCTTAAGTGTTGTGATCTTTGGAAAGGTGATTGTGGTTGTTTGTGTGTGTTTGTTTGATTGGAAAAGGGGTTATGTTATATAGAGAGTAGGGTTGCTATTTGGTTCGGGTTTTTTGGTTTTATGCTAAATCGGATTGAGACTGGACCTGGATCGGATAGTTAACAATTCAATCCAATTTTTGGGCTTAGATTTGAGGTAAAAAAAAATTATTCGGGACCGGATCAAAAACTGGAGAAAGACCGGATAAGAGAGCTCAACACCCAAAACTTAAGGGTAATTTGCATAAACGGTCACAAACCTTTGCACTTAGTACAAAACTTAACCAACTCCTCACCTAACTCAAATCCCCAAAAGCTCAATATAAAATCAAGAACGAATTGGGACCGGACCGGGTCAAGACCGGACTGTATTCAATCCAACCTTTGGTTCTTATATTTTCAAAAAGACCGAACTGGACCGGATCAATTTGGACCAAATGGATTGCGCGTGTTTGTGTACTGATATGTTTGGTGGTCAAAATCTATATGATTTGATAGCAAATTGGTCGGGAGATTTTTTTTTTTTTTTTAATGCAAATTTATAAGTATTCTTGTTGAGTGTTTAGTGGGTACTCTAACTAATGGAGGTTTGCCGGTTTGTTTATTTTGTTAATCGCATTTCTATCACTCTCGAGTTATTGTCGTAGTTTGTCGTGGAATTTTAAATTTTAAAAAAGTTTTTCCCAAAAGAATACTTAAAGTCTTGTTAATAAACTATTAAAAGTACCTTTTAATATAAGTAATTATGAAAAATGATTAAAAAGGATTTTGAATATAGTTACAATGATTAAAACTCATTTTTACTATTTTAAATAACATTTTTTTATTTTTGTTTTAAAATTTTAATTTAGTTTTAAAATTACATAAATGAAAGAAAACTATGTGTATGATTTTTTTTTTTTCTTGAATTCATGTGGTTATGCTGAAATTGAGCTTTCAATTGATACCTACATAGAGCTAGGTGAGGTCGGAGGTCAGGAGGAAGAAGAGAAACTTACAGCGGGTGGTGGCCACCGGAGTAGGTTTCAGTCGAAATTCTAATTTTTGTTTTTATTTATTTATTTAGTTAATTGATCGTTAGTCAACGGTGCTAACCGTTTAAATTAACTGTCAACCCTCTGTATAGGCCAAATTAGTCTTTATATGTAATAGTTTAGACTATAGGCGTTTCTGAAAAGATTGGTTATGATCGTCGTTTAGTATAAAGTTCGGGTCATTTTAAAATATTAACCCTTCATATTATAACAATAATTTTTTAGTTATGTAGAGATGTTTAATCAAATTTCAGCTTTTAAAACAAAAAATAAGTGAAACCAAACATACACATAGATACACATATTGGTAGCTATAAACGATTTGAGGAATAACAATATATGCGTATTGGTTAGTAGTGATTAGTAATCATTTCGTTAACATTCTTCTACCAAAATCAATTCGTTACGTGATGATAGTATTAGGAGTTAATTGATTTCTAAGTATTAGGGATGGCTATTTGGTTTGGGTTTTTTAGTTTTACTCGAAATTGGACCGGGATCGGATAGCAAACAATACAGTCCAATTTTCGGGCTTAGATTTGAGGTAAAAAACCGTTTGAGACCAGACCGAAAACCGGATAAAGACCGGATAAGAGAGCCCATCGCCCAAAATTTAACCTCCTCACCCTTTCAGTAGGCCACCCAAATTCCCACAAGCTCAATCTAAAATCAAGCCCGAATTGGGACTGAACCGATTCAATACCGGACTATATCCAATCTAATCTTTGGTCCGTATATTCTCAAAAAGACCGGACCAGAATCGAATTAATTCGGGTCAATTTAACCGGACCGTATAGCCACCCATTAAGGGGTCTAGATATAGGAGCATTAGCCCTTAACCGGTCTAGATATAGGAGCATTAGCCCTTAACCTTAGAATACAAGACATTTGGCAATTAATTACGAGTTTCTAGTACTTTGGAATATCGCTTGCTAGAAGGATACCAATATTCTCCTCAACTCTTCTTATTTATAATTTCATGGACTAAATTTTGTAAATAATTGATTACATTAGAATAATTTATTGCAGATGTGAATTTTAGAATATGAATAAGCCTCAAGTTGAAATTCGCCACTAAAAGGAAAATAAACACCAATCGTTTGAGTTCTTTGCAATTACCATGAGTTCTTTGCAATTACCATAGAATACGATGAACAACATGAAGATGAGCACCAGTAGGAGTGTTTATTAATTGATTGACAATATGAACTACACATGAGACCTCGAGTATGTGTCAAATGGTTTAAACTCCCAAACAATGAAGCACAACGGGAACCATTAACCAATGGCACTCCTCTATCCTTACTGAGTTTGACATTGAGTTCCATTGGAGTAGCCACATAACTTATATTGACGGTGGGTGATCAGAAAATCATTGATGTACTTTTCTTGGCTGAAAAGGATGTCGTTTTCAAGAACGAGTAACTTCCAATCCGAGGAAGTACGAGAGGGGTTCCAACTCTTTAAGAATAAAAGAATGCACGCAACCCCTCAATAAGTTATTATTACCAACCGAATCATCTCCAGTGACGACCATATCATCAACATAACAAAGTAATAGAGCAGTACCAGTGGAATGATTCCGAGCAAAGAGCAATGGGTCATTCATACTCTGAACAAATCCAAGACCAATGATCCTTCTTTGGAACTTCTTGAACCACACATGTGGCGCTTGTTTTAAACCATTCAAAGACATCTAGAGCAAACAAATATGATCCAAAGTACCTTCAGAGTATCTAGGAGGACGCTCCATGTAGATAAAAATTCTTTCAAATCCTCATGAATGAAAGCATTCTTCACATCCAACTGAAGTAAAACACTGTTTAACTGTAGTGACAAAAATAAGTGTTTTGACTATTTGCATCTTAGCAACCGAGCAAACATTTCATCATAATCAATCTCGAATTATTACCAACAAATTTGAGCCACCAGCAATCTTGGCTACCATTTTAGTCATGTATCTGCTCATGCGGCCCATGCGGGTATCGATTAAGCCATCATCACTCTAATGCCCTAGATGCTATATCCATGGTGGCGACAAAACTGCAAGTGCACAGTATCGTACAAGTAATAAAGTGTAAGTAAAATTATCGTTCTCTAGGGGATTGGTGAAATTCAATAATTAACAAATTTACTTCCAGAAACTACATGAATTGTAAAGGTTGTAATCAAGTGATGGTTTGCAAAGATACACACAAATTAATAACTCGATAAATAAACTATTTTGGAGAAATTGATATTGGAGAGTTTCGGGGAAAACACAAAATTTTACTATTTTACCTCATTAAATATTAATTACCTTTGTCAATCAATTTAATCCATATTTCTACTGTCGGGATACCTCTAACTTGATAGCTATATCTATCGAGAGTTACCACGTACTAACTAATTAAGACAATTTCTACTATCGTAGTTAATTGAATTAATTAATTAGCCTTAAGAATGATATTTCTAATATGACTGAATAATTTCCTATTTAATCCACTATCAATTTGATAGGCAATTATGTCGTGTCAAATGTGTCCGGTTACTAGGTTTTCACTATCTTTTTAACATAGAAAACTACAGATCATTTTGAAGGTGGCCAATCAACACAAAGCCTTAAACAATTTCACACGATAGAAAATGGAGGAAAAACAAGTCGTGATTAAAACATCGAGGCTAGATAATGAAATTCATAAGTATCCCCAGAAATTGGGGGATTAGTTCATGATGAAAAGAAAAAACATAAACATGATAATGTTCAACATCATAACTAATTACCTAAACAAAGGAGTAGAGTAAGTACTAAGTGTCGAAGTTTTTTAATTTTATTTCTGAGTGATATCAAGATAGTGACAAGAGTTATACAAATAAAACAACCCAGGACCCCCACAAGTGACACCCTAGTAAAGTCACCCAAAAAATTCAAAAGACTCTAACTCTAAGTGTTGAAGTTAATCCACAACATACAAGAGTCTTCCTTTCTTCAAAATGCTCAACTCCAAAGTGTGCCAAAGTGAGCTCTCTCCTTTGATTTTTCTATGTAAAACTGGTCTCCAAAAGTGTCTTCTAAGCTCTCCCTCTTGTTGTATTTTTCTGCTCCTTTTAAGCCCAATTTCTGCAGATTTTTTCCCCACAAAACAAGGGTACTTTCATCTCCATTTTCCAAGAGAAGGCTGCTGCCAGCTTAAGTCTCTTTATTTGCAATAAATTTTTGCATCACTTTATCTATTAGTGAGCCACCAAATCCATTTGCTCACTTCAAGAAATTTGATCCAACCCAATAATTTCTGAGGGCTGTTGATAGTTGAGTGAAGATTCCAACCCATAACTTTGTTTTTTTCACAATCTTAGCTTCAATCTGGGTTAAATCGCTACATGTCTTAGTAATGACACTAGCGCCATTCCATGGTCAATATGAACTAATTTAGAGCAACTTAAACATATACATACATAAAGATCAATCATTTATGCACAAAATACATGTATGTTTATGAAGATTATCAATCTACATATCCTAATTTTCTCCAGATGAATGCTCCCAGCACAGCTAACGCCAAAAACAGCTCTGGTGAAAGGCCATCTGATCCAGGAGTCTCGTTTTGAGACCGCCTTCGTGGTCGTCGCTCCAATTCTCCTACTTTCTCTTCTATTGAATTTACCCTTGAAAATTGTGTGCTTGATCAGGTGCATATTGTTTACAAAGATGGAGACGAGCTGAAACCAATCCTGCAAATCATTGACGCGCTTCATACAGATGGGTGTCAGGATTGGAAAAATGCACTCATTGTCAAGCCATATGGGGCTCAGTTAGCAGCAATCAGCATGGAGGTCGTAGTTCTGGACAATGGATATTCCGTTACAAAGTTCGAAGATCCAGAAGATTTGACAAATGTGTTAGTTGGGGACCCTTAAATTGTTGTTGGAAACTTCTTAGCACTCAAGATGTGGGAGCTAGATTTCGATCCCTTCGCAGCTCGTGTACCTACCCTTCTTACTTGGGTTCGATTTAATCAACTGCTCCGAAGACATGGGTGGTCAATGCATGACGTCTAGTGGTGTATGAAGGGCTAACCGACATATGCTAAATATTCCCTTCAACGCCCCCTAATTCTTCTCCACCAAACTAGGGTGGAAAATCGGTTCGGTAAACCTGAACCAAACCAGAATCGAATTAAACCAAACCGAAATCAAATTAATGTTATTCGGTTCGGAATTCGGAAGGAAAATATGGATAGTTCGGAAACCAGGGTTCTTTCAACTGAACCGAATTTTCGACCAAAAAACCGAAATGCTATAATTGTAAGCTCCAAATGGTGGATTGTTTTTATGTTTGTAGTTGTTTTCGGACTTAAATATTTGAACTGTTTTATGACTTATGTGTTGAAAAGTTTGATATTATCATTGATGATGTATATAATTGCATATTTATTGTTTATATTAGGGGTGAAAAATAATTTAAATGTGAGAACATACAAATAGATTTTTCACAAATTTGGTTTTGTGTGAAAAACTGAACCGAATTATAATTCGGTTCGAATTCGGTTTGAGGTTTGGGAGCATTCGGGGACCCAATATTCATAATTTCCGTTCGGTCGAAACCGAACCGACCGAATGCCCACCCCTCCACCAAACCTATAGGCTACAGCCCCTCCGCCGTCCAATTTTGCCCTTCTCATCTATTTTCCGATCTCTACCTCTCTCGCTCGCAAAAAAATACCCAGTAGCAATGTTAGGGTTGCGATTTCCTCCCCCTCTCTATATTCAGAATTACTCAATTCCTTCTTCTCATTGTCTAAAGAAAATTCATTCTTCTCGCATTCATGGAGCACAGTGTTGGAAGCTCAACTTTCCGAGGAACATTCTAGCGCGGGTGCTTCTCCTTGGTGTTTTGCTCATCGTCATTCGTTTCACCTACATCATCACTATCGTCGGAGAGTCCTGCAATGTCGGCGGCAAAACTGAATTTTGCTTCTTCTCACTTTTGGAGAACTTCAATTTCATTGACGAGATTGGAGTCGCGAACAAGTTGTATGTTCTCAGCCGATTGGACTGTCGAGGAGTAATTTGTACACCAACATGAATTGGATAAAGTCCTTCTACTTCTTATCCTCCATCTTGCAAGATATAATCTTTGAAGGATCCTCTATTCGGACCAAGTTCGATCTCACAGGAAACAATAACAACTCTTGTAGAAACGAGGACCAGAGAGTCCAAAACGTCATGTCATTTTATTATCATCTCAACAAAAATGGGTAGCTCTAATTTTGATTATTAATTACGAAATAATCGGTTTACTAACCGATAACCGGTTATACAATTCTATCCGGTAACAGTAGCCAGTAGTTGTTTGGTAGTAATCGGTTTACTCATAATCGGCTAATGGTTACCTCCCTGAATATTACTACATTTTGCATTTGTTAAAAGTTATTGACAGTAATGAACCTTCAAACGAGACCATCAACGAGTTCCTTCCTTAGAAATTGACAATAATACTCTCCCATGGCGTATCTTTAGTGTTTAGTCTTTATCAAGGTTGTCAAACCCAGTTTACCCATTGCCCGATTGAGCAAGTGGGTTGAGATTTAATAGACCGACAACATTAGCCCGAAAATATGAAAAAGTCATTATATTGTTCACACATTTATAAATTATATCAAATCTCATCCAACATGTGAGTAATAACATATAACATTACACCAAATAACATGTCGTACTTGGATCCAACATATATTTAAAATTCACACACATTTATATAACATCAATATTCAAATGTGCAGTTCAGAATTCCCAATATAGAGTTAGGCGAAAAAGAAAACCAGAAAAGAGATGCATTTGGTAAACCAAAGGGAAACACGACACCGTGTGACCTCCAACCCGCTAACCTTGTAGCGGGTTGACCCAAACTGCTTGTGGTCCATTTTTATTACCGGAGATCGTACACCCGCAAACAATACTGCCATGGGCCCATCCGTCATTAGCAATCTCAATCCGCTTTTCCTAATCCGACATGAAGACTTCCCTCGTGCACCTCAATCACAAGAGGCGAGCGACTCTCGCATTTGATTAATATTGCTGTATACCAAGGAGATTGGTGAATCCCAAATTCCCTGGTGTGACACTTTGTGACCAGTCTAAGAGATCTAAGTAGCGACAAACGAACTAAATGAGGGTCAAAATGGATCAACCAATAGGTCAACCCGCGTGTTGACAAACTTGGTCTTTATTCACCTCACATAGCTTAAAGGCAAAATACACCATATCCATAACTTTACACATTGTGACAATAATAGCCAAAATTCAAAAAAAAAAAACTAAAATAGACATTTCGTCCATAACTTCAACGAAATTATCCAGGATGGTGACTATAATAACGTTTTTTGGCGGCGTGACATTTTTGTCAAAAACAATACGAGATGGAAACAATTATTTTCTAATTATAATTAAATAGAAAATAAAATAAATTTTATCTCTTCCTCACCCTTCCCTTCCCCAGTTTTTTCTTTCTCTTGTCTTCCTCTCCGCCATCATCATTTGCGAACTCGAAGGAGGAGGAGGAGTGACAACATGGATCTGGTTCTCTCGGGCTCTACTCTTGTCAGCGACATGGATATGGTTCTCTAATATGTTCGACGACCATAAAAAACCACAAATATCAAATGACATCGTTTCATAACAGATTTTCCCTATCCTATCGAGATTCCCCTAAATCACACTAACGAGAAACAAGAACCTAGAACAGAGCAAATCAAAGCCATCATAGGGATATTCTGAGAATTGAGGAAATGGTTGTTGCGGGATGGGTTTCGAGAGATGGATTCAAGATAGAGTGAGAGCCAACCCGCCCAACCAATCCCTCATCCATTTGATTTACTTGTCGTCCTCTCTACTGAATCTTCTCCTCTCTTTTCCTCGATTTTTCTATCCCTCTCCCCCAACTTCTAGCTGCTAGGTAGTAGGTACCAATAAGGGCGGTCAGATCCTGAGATTAGGGTCTGGGAAGGAAGAGAAGGAGGGAAATACGGATGTTGGTGGCAGTGTTGGTGGTGGTCGCCGCCGTCTCAGCGGTGGGGATGGGGAGTTGGAGAGCGAGGAAAAGAGGAGGAAGAGAATTTGTTGAGAACAGCAGCGACGGAGTCAACGATAGTGAAGGATAGATCGGGGATTTAGGGAAGATGTGAATGACGTAAGAGATGTCGGAGAGTTTCGATTCAGCGTCGAAGGCGTTGGAGATGCCGCACTAGATGTATTCAACTGGGTGATCGGCGTTCCGATTGGGGTGATGGGAGCGAGCTATGTTGTAGACCTTCCACGGGCCACCAAGAGTGTTGGTGAGCGGGAGGATCTCGACTAAGCTGTTGCCCACGATTCCGATGACGCCCACTACCAGGGCCACACTCTAGTAACTTCGCGGCGGCTCATCTTCATCGAGCTTCTTCTACAGGAAGAAAATGGGAAAAGATTAACCAAGTCAGAGACGAACCAAGTTTCAAACTTGCCAAAACCGAAAATGGGATGGAGATTTGGAGATAAATTAAGATTTATTGAGGTTAGCAAGAGATTACCTTAGCGGTTTCAATGGCGCCAACCCACCTCCAGCTCATTCTTTCTAATAGAGGATTGAGTAAGTGGGGAAGATTGGGATGCAGAAAGAAGTGAAGTTTGCTCGAAGGAAGGGTAGGTCAAAAGGAGAGTTGGTAATTATGAGACTCAGTGGGATTTAAGGGTGGTAGTGGCGCGCAGGGGGGGAGTTGGAGGAGGAAGGTCGATTAATTAGATCTGAGGCTAACCATTCTCCGCAAGACACAACAACGAATGGAGGAGGCCGGCGGACAGGGGACCAAACAGTCACGTGGAAACGAAGTTTCGGGTTTGATTTGAGTGCAGAGGAAAAGCTATGGCGCACGTTGGCAGGGGACGATGGGGAAGGGACGAAATGGAAGAAGAAGGAGAGTCCGACGAGGAAAGTAAAAAAGAAATAATTTTGAAAAGCTATTTTTTTTAATTTAAATATGATGTGACGGCTAGGTGGCCGCATGACTTGATGTGTTAGAGCTGATGTGAGAACTGAGTTGGCATCCACATCAGTGTCGTGTTAACGGTATTAAATCTTTTAACACGAAAATGACTAATTATGTCACACGGGTTTTCAAAATGTGGCTACGAATGTATATTTTTGAAAAAGTGACTTTGAATTAAGCCTTAAATTGAGGGACAACAAAATTAAATCATGACAAGCCAAATAAGAAAAATAGGCTAAATTACACGTTTGGTCACTCAAATTATACAAATCTTTCACGTTTGCCACCCGAATTACTTTTCTTTCTTATTCGCCACTAACTTTACGAATCGTTTCATGGTTGGTCACCGGCCGTTACACTCCGTTAAATTTGTCCTACGTGGCAGTCAACTATAAAGTTTGACCGTTAACTAGATGACGTGGAAATTAAAAAAAATAAAAAAATAATTTTTTCTTTCCACCTCATTATTGCACTTATTTCGGTCAGGGCCGCGAAGACCGTGATCCCGAAGACGAGGAAAGTGGAGCAGACGATGACGCTGACGAGATTGTACTGGAGGTGGAGCCAGAGCTGGCGGATGTCGTCGGGATTCAATTGGGTAGCTTCGATTACGATCACCGCCATCAATGGGATCAAGCAAAGGGTCAATAGATGGCTCACCAGATAGTGATAACCCAGCTTCACATGCTTCAGATTCACGCTCTGTAAGAAATCCGGCAGCCGAGACCTCGATTGGGGCTGGATCTGGATCCCGCCGACTCCACCACCACCGCCACCGGCCGGTGTTGTGCTAGCGGCGGCGGATTCACTACTCATTGCTACTAATCAAACAGCCAAATCTAACTTCTGGGTATTTCCGATATCAAGGTATCAACCCGACCCAATATATATAGCGAGGGAGACGATGAACAGTGGGTATCGTGCACGGATCTGAAACAGGAAACCCGCAAGAAATCTGAGAGAGGAAGGTAGTAGAAGAAGAAGAGGGAAGCTTGACTGGGTTATGGTTGGTGGGTATTGGATACAACTACTACAGCGAGGAGTGACATGAAGCTGCCATAATTGAACACCACGTAAATTTGGTATCCATATATATAAGAAATTTGGTACGCCGCCGATAGCTGGTCCCGCCGCCACGTATTCATCAGGAACTGCTACTCCGTCTCGCCGGAGATCGTCGCCCGACGGTTCCCGAGGATCAGGAGCGTCACGCTGAAGGAGAAGCCTCAGTTTTCCGACTTCAATCTCGTCCCCGATAACTGGGGCGCCGACGTCCACTCATGGCTCCTGGTCTTCGCCTCTGGGTGTCCATTTTTATAATTTATTAAATTTTATTAAATTATTAATATGATAAATTATATAGACAAAATAAGTGCAATGATGAGGTGGAAAGAAAAAATTATTTTTTTATTTTTTTTAATTTCCACGTCATCTAGTTAACGGTCAAACTTTATAGTTGACTGCCACGTAGGACAAACTTAACGGAGTGTAACGGCCGGTGACCAACCGTGAAACGATTCGTAAAGTTAGTGGCGAATAAGAAAGAAAAGTAATTCGGGTGGCAAACGTGAAAGATTTGTATAATTTGAGTGACCAAACGTGTAATTTAGCCAAGAAAAATATAAAATTTCAAAGTAGTTTCGATTTTAGTGCTTCGATCGATCCGACGGTGGAAATTTGGTTATGTTCTAACCTGTACCTGCATAGTGGTATGCACCTGATGTTTGCCCTCTCTCTTACGTTCGCGACCTAGCTAGCTGAGTAGAACTCGTCTCTCTTTGTTCGAGTCGCAGTTTCTCAGCTTCGCACACAGCCTCCGCTCGAGTGAACTGCGAGTCAGAGAACCCGTTGTGGATTTGATTGGTTGAAGCTCGAATAAAGCATCTCGAAGTATGAGCGACTACGGCAGCGGAGGAGGTAGGCTAGACCGTAATGGTGCGGATCATGAGAAGGACGAATTCGGTGGCGGTGGCGACCCTGACAATCTTGGCGATTCCAAATCCCAGGTCTTTACTTCTACAGTCAGTTTGTTCTAGTTTAGGTTTAAACATAACCGGATAAATTTGCTTGAATTTGGTCCTTAAATTGCTCGAATCTATGAAGTTGCTGTATTCTCACCGATAGAACTTGTTGCTTGCAGCGTGACTATGAGAGGGATTCCGTGAGAAGTAGAGATAGAGAAAGGGTGCGTGACAAAGGTAGGGATAGGGACAGAGACCGTGACAGGGAGAGGGATAAGGATAGGGAGAAAGATAGAGATATTGATCGACACCATAGAGGAGGAGGGCGTGATAGGAATCGTCACAGAGATGGCAATGACAGGAGAGAAAGAGGCAGAGATAGAGGCGAGGATGATAATCATCGGAGCAGAGACTATGACAGGTATGGTTGTTTCACACATATTGAACTAGTTTGCTTTTCTAAATATTGGCTGTCAAAATGGCAATCAAGTTGATATCTTTGGTGGTCTAAATGTTTAGCAGGCGAAGAGAAAATGATAGAGAGCGTGAAGATAGGCCCAGGCTTCGTTCTAAGTCTCCTTCGAGGGGTAGATCAAGGCAGAGATCGAAATCTCGTTCTCGGTCTCCCTCCAGTTCAGGATCACGTTCCAAGAGGTACCTACAAGCTATAATAACTAGTAATATAAAGAAAAAAAGGGTTGGTGTGAGGGGGTGGGGGCTCTAGATTATATAGGGTTGTTCCTTTGCTTACTCCTATTGAAACTGATTATAGCAAAAGGGTGAGTGGCTTTGATTTGGCTCCTCCTGCATCTGCAATGGCTGCTGCTGTTGCTGCTGTCAATGCTGCTACTACAGGTACCCAGACAACTCTGTCTCTTAACTGCTATCTTTATTGGTTGTTTTAAGTACGATATGTAGTGGGTACCTTGCTTTATTGAATTCTGTTAAAGCACAAGTCCCAATTTCGTTTCTCAAAGGGGAAAATTAGAGCTTGAAAACAGTTCTTAAATGATATTGGTCGCGTTGGCTTGCTTTATTATATTTTGTTCTTGCTTACTATGAAATTATTCTGGAACTGAGAGAGCTTTTGGTTTTGTTGTGTTTTTGGTGTTTGTTTGTTGTTTCCGTGTCTTTGTCTTTGTTGTGAGAAGGAACTGTTGGGCTGGTTGCCCCAATGTGCTGACAATGGCTTATGAGCTGACACCCCATAGCTTAAATGTACAAAGAGGAATCAGGGCACCAGTTTGATGGTTGTTGTTCGTCTCTCAGCGGGAAACTATTGCCTGTTTTGGTAGTTTTGTGAATATTTCCTCCGAAACCTGCATCTTTAATATACCTTTTCCCCATCTATTCCTTTACCTTTTCCTAACAGGTTAGTCTGCAGTTACAAAAAGGATATGGCAGTTTTGTCATATGTTAATTATAGTTAAAGTTCATCTACAAGGTCTTCTAACTTTCGGCTCATTACCTTTGCAGGCCAAATTCCTGGATCCGCTCCTCCCATCCCAGGAATGTTTCCAAACTTATTTCCGACTCCTAATGGACAGGTATAGCTTACTCAATATTATAATATATTGATTATGCCTTTCTGTGGTTTGTTCTAATTTCATATTGTGTATTTTAACACTAACAGTTTGGTTCTCTGCCTGTCATGCCCATTCAAGCAATGACTCAGCAGGTCTGTTTGTTTAAGATGCTTAATTACAGTGTATATCATGCTTCGGCCTTGGTTTAATATCTCTAGTTTTCCCCTGTTCATATATTGTCTCCCATGCTTCCAGGCTACTAGGCATGCTCGGCGGGTCTATGTTGGAGGGCTTCCACCATCAGCCAATGAACAGGTAGCTATTCTTCTTCATTTGTTTCTAGTAGATCTTCAGACCTTTTCCACTCTGACATGCTCTATCATACTGCAGTCTGTAGCTACCTATTTCAGTCAGGTCATGGCAGCCATTGGAGGAAACACTGCTGGCCCTGGTATGTTGTTAATTTAATCATATGTTATGTTGTTTGTTTTCATTGAAAGCAGTGAATCTGCCCTTGATTTTCCAGTCCCTGAACGTATTTGTTTGTTTTATAAGGGGATGCTGTTGTAAATGTCTATATAAATCATGAAAAGAAGTTTGCATTTGTGGAGATGAGATCTGTTGAGGAGGCCAGTAATGCCATGGCTCTAGATGGAATTATCTTTGAGGTAGAAATCTGCTTCTTTGAATCTTCGGCTACAAGTTGTACAGTATGGTGTTGATATGGGCATCTACTGACTTTTTCAGATCTTTTTTGAAATTTCAGGGTGCACCTGTCAAGGTACGTCGGCCTAGTGATTATAACCCCTCCCTGGCTGCAACACTTGGTCCTAGCCAACCCAGTGGTAACCTTAACCTTGCCGCGGTTGGATTAAGTCCTGGCTCTTCGGGTGGGCTCGAGGGTCCAGATCGAGTATTTGTGGGTGGGCTACCGTATTACTTCACAGAACCACAAATCAGAGAATTGTTGGAGTCTTTTGGGGCTCTTAGAGGTTTTGACCTAGTGAGAGACAGAGAAACAGGAAATTCAAAAGGATATGCTTTTTGTGTGTATCAAGATGTTGCTGTTACAGATGTAGCTTGTGCTGCTTTGAATGGAATTAAAATGGGTGATAAGACTCTCACTGTTAGGCGCGCCAACCAAGGCAGCAGCCAACCTAGACCTGAACAAGAAAGTGTACTACTACATGCCCAGCAGCAGATTGCAATACAGGTAATCATAGTCTGAATTTTTAATTTAGTTGCACATTTGTTTAATTTGGTCTTGTTTTACTGATGTTGGTTGTCTTTGTGCAGAGGCTTATGTTACAACCTCCAGCAACTAAAGTTGTATGCCTAACTCAAGTAGTTACTGTGGACGAGCTCAGAGATGATGATGAGTATGAAGAGATAATGGAGGACATGAGAACAGAATCCAGTAAATTTGGTATCATCTTTTAACCCTACCATTCCTGAGTTAATGAGAACAAAAATGATCTGTCAAGTGATTTGTTTTGTTTTGTATCTTGTGGTTTGTATGTCTGTTTTCCAGCATCTTGTAGTCCTACGGTCTGCTATAGAGAACCAGCCCTAAGATACAGCGACAGAAGGCTGCTTAATCTCCTCTTATTATATATGCAATGGATTGTCTATGTATTTGTGTTTTGGCTTGGCATATTTTCATGTTCTTAATGCAGGTACATTGGTGAATGTCGTCATCCCCCGCCCACAACCGGATGGTAGTGCTTCTCCTGGTGTTGGAAAGGTAAGTTAAAGACTGTTACAATGTTGTTATTGATGGTTGATTACGGTCTTTTGAGACTGTTGTAGAGTTGTAGCTGATCCACTAATTCTTGTTATTGTGTGGAAATACAGGTGTTCCTGGAGTACGCAGATGTTGATGGTGCAACAAACGCCCGAGCAGGTATGAACGGGAGGAAATTCGGCGGCAATGAGGTGGTGGCTGTGTTTTATCCAGAACACAAGTACAATGCAGGAGAGTACGATGGCTAATGCCATGGGATGGGAACTCTACAACTCTGCTGAATGTTTGTTGGATTGTGTACTTCTGTTATAGTTTCTTCGTCAGTAGAGCTGTAGGCGGCTGATGAAGATTGATGATGTGATCATTTTAGCCTCTGAATGATAATATTATTATATGTAACTTGATGATTACTACTACGCTCTGTCTAGGCTCTCTCACCAACTCCCAACTGTGTAATGCTTACTTCTCTTTTTCGTTCCTAGAATGAATTTCAAGACACAGAAAAGCATGTAGCAATGGAGTTGCATGTCTGCAGCAGATGTTTGTTTACTATCTAGTCTTTCCCAACACATGCATCATTGCATCCGAGATAGAAGAAAGAAAAAATTTGGAATTGGTTCTCCAAGTACCATGCTCCACTCCCATAATGTCGTTGACAAATTAAGTTTAGGTGAGGAATTGTAAGTACTCTCCTTTGCAAGATTCCTTTGAGTGGGTTGTTCTTGTCTTCTCTTTGTCGCGTAATCATCTATGAGTCTTTAGGCATCAACATATGGTGTACTTAACACTAATTGCAGTTAAGAGGGATGATAACACTCGATTTGTATTGTGTTAATACTAACTGTAATCAATAGTAATAATTCGTTTTGATGAATTTTTTATATTTAAGGGTTGATCACGATTAATGCAGCTTTTTAAAGGATGGACAAATTTGTCATTTTAAAAAATTATGGGGTGAACACGCTTGTGTCGCTGTTCATTTATTCAGTGTATAATCTTTAGCCGGTAACGACCACAAGTCTCATAAAACAAACAAGAAAAATGCATACTAGAAACACGACAAACCATACCAGACAAAACATAAATAGACCATAAAGCATACAAGAAAATATAGAAAGCTGAACACAAGTTTTCTAAAGCATATAAGAAATTATAGATCATAAAGCATACTAGAAAATATAGAAAGCTGACCACAAGTTTCTTAAAGCATATCAGAAACCTCACAAAGCTTCCACAAGTTTTTAAAGCATGCTAGAAACTTCACAAAGTTTACCACAAGTTCGTTGAAGCATATAGAAAAACCCTAATAAAGTCGACTACAAGTTCCATTAAGCAAACATGAATCCTCATAAACCCGACAACAAGTTTCGTAAGCCATACCGGAAGCCCCATAAAGCTGATCACAAGTTCTCTGAAACATACCCAAAACATCAGAAACATGTCCACAAATTCCTTGAAGCATACCAAAAAACTCATAGAGCTTACAACAGGTTCCATGGAAGTAAACCACAAATATGTGCAACCACACCATAACTTTCGTAAAGTAGACCAAAATGACGAAAAACCGCACCAGAAACCTTACAAAGCGAACCAGAAACATCATAAAGGATGAAAAGGTAATATATTTTTTTATAATGATAATATAATTTTTTTACAAGTAACCCTCTGATCTTTTTTACACGTAGGGAAAGAAGTAGGGTGGAGGCAGGGGGCAGAGAGCAACGGGAGGAGGACGATGTGGAGGAAGAGCCTACTATATACAGTAGTTACTATAATACTCTTATTAATTATTTTTAGCATGGTGCTAGCATATAGGATGTTATAATAGAAATAGAGTATTATCGGGTACTATTTGTTTTGGGATTTTGAAAATTTATTTATGAGTTTAGGGAGATTGCAGTGATCCGCGTGAAGGAGAAGATACCAGACTACGAGTTCGTGAGTCTGGGAGGTGGGTTTGGGTTGTTGGACCTGAGGTCTAGTGAGTAGGAGCAGGATTTGGAAGCGGGTCATGGTGAGTTGGGCCAACCGGGTCCAAACCCCATGGTGGAGCCGGATGAGTTGAGCTTGGAAGACCATGAAGGAGCATGGGTTGACTCAGGTCAGCCTATAGGAGGGTCGTGCCGAACAGATGACATGAACTTGTCAGGTAGGGTCGAATGTAGTCAAAATCACAATTTAAAACTTGAAAGCTTACGCTTTTATGCTTCTAGGTCACCAAAACGTTTCTACGTAGAATAACACTTTTCCTTACTAATGTAGTCAACATCGAGCTATAAAGCTGAAAAGCTAACGATTTTATGTCACCAAAATGCTTCTACATAGAATCACGCTTTTGACTACATTGGCAGGGTCAAACCAGACCCATTCAAATAAGTATTGGACAAATTAGATTTGCACCAAACCGATTCGTACCCACCCAAACAGCAGGGGCAACGACAAACATGAAGGATGGAAGGGCTATTTTGAAGGGACAAAGTCGATCTATCCAGCCATGGTGACTCTTAAGGGCAAAAACTACCGCTTGAAAAGGAACTAGGAGATAGGACAGTGCTCGAAGACAGGAGCAGAAGGCCACATTGGGTATCCATGGGAAGAAGACGCTTTGGAGTTTCCCGATCTGCCTAGGCTAAATAGGGAGCAAGGGAACTACTATGGTCACCAAGGCGGGGGTGACATTGGCATGTATGGTGGTTATAACCCCACTTTTGATCGAGATGAAGATTAAGTTTTTAGGGCTAAGCTTCCGACCATTGAGTTCCCAAAGTTGAATGGTCAAGAGAATGTTGCGCTGAGGTTGTATGTAACTGACCGGTGGTTAAGAACCATCTCACACAAGAGGATAGGAAGGCACATATGTCATCTTTATACTTAGTGGGAGATGCCTCCAGTGGTGGAAATGAATGTAGAGGTCCTATGCACATGCCAAGATGTTGATCACATTACCCAAGTTTCATGAGGAACTTAGGTTCCAGTCTGGGAGACTAGAAGGGTGGGTTCCAAAACAACTTGCTAAACTGAGGCAGACTAGGACAATGGATGGGTACCGGGCCGAGTTTTTGAAGTTAAGGAACATGTGCAAGGCATGAAAGAGAAATTTTTTGGTGGACTTGTGCATGGCAAGTCTAAGGCCCAAATTAGATGCAGTTGTGAAAGTGTTTGAATCCAAAGCAGTTAAAATCGGGATTTTACGTAAAATAAAAAATGGGGGTAAAATCGGAATCGTAAAATCGAATCGTAAAATAGTAGGATTTTAAGGTCCATATAAAAATGTAAACGAAATAATATTAGTAAGGAAAATCATGAATAACACAAAAGCACATAACACTTACAATGATAAATTTTCAAGGTTAATGTTCCAATTTATCAAGGTTAATGTTAAGAGGTGGTGAATCGATGAGGATTAATACGTTGATGTGAATTGATTATAATTAATGGTGGTTAGTGTGAGAGAACTAGATGATGTTGGTGAAGGAGAAGAAAAAGAGGCGTAATTTTGCAAATTCGGGGGGGGGGGGGGGAATGTAAAATTGACTCTAAGATTTGAATCGTAAAAACGTAAGATTTTAAAGATTTTAAGGATTTAAATCGTGAATAGTGTAGGATTTTAAGGTCCATAGATTTTATAGTGAAATCAGAATCGGAATAGGTAAGTAAAATCGTAAAACCGTAGGATTTTAGGATTTAAATCGGGATTTTGACTACTCTGTTTGAATCTGAATCTTTGCCAGTTACATTTAGACTTGCATGTAGAAACGATGATGAGATTGCCAGCTAGCGGAGCAATGTCGGTCACTTTCAAAAGGTGATCAGTGGAGGAGCATGTATAGGGGAGGAACAGTGACCGCAACGACACAAACACAGGAGCCGTGACCCCCGCTTGCCATTAAGGGACTTTGTGAGACCGATTTCGTCAGAGATTGAGGGGAAGCGCATGGATGGTAGTTGCTTTAACTGCAACGAGAGGTACACGGTGGGGGTACCAATGTGTCAATGCCTACTTGATGCTGCCTGTGGGAATATGCAAGGATGAGGTCGATGAGCTGGCGATCGAGGAAGGAAAAGTGAATTAGGATGCACCGGGTTCAACCTTGAGGGAAAGGTTGTTGTCGAGGAGGGGTGGTATGATAGAAACCGGGTCTACTATTATTCTATCTGTTTTGGTATTTTGAACAATTATTTATGAGGTTTGGTATTTTTGTTATTTGTGAATTATTTGGTATTTTTATGCTGGTTTTTGGGAGTATTTTGCATTTTTGTAGTAGACATAAAATAAAGATAATTAAAGGGAATCCATCGGGTTATATATTGTACACTTGAGACTTGATTAATTAAACTATATCAAAATTAAAATTTTCCTAAATCTAATTATCTCTCTCCCTCTCTCTTAGCCGAACCCCTTTCCTCTTGCTGTCATCGTACACCATAAACCATAAAGAGTCGAACTCTCTTCTTCCCTTCTCTTCCCAAATTCCCTCATTTCCCCCTCTTCCTTCCTCAATCTATTCCCTAATCTATCAAATCTCTCATCCCTCATCTATTTCCACTCCCATAACCCGAGTTGAAGGCACCCTAAGTTCCCAAGTTCTATTATATTAGCACCCTATCCAATCTTAGAGTATTAGCCTATCCATTGAACATGTTGATATGACTTGAATCGGACTATCAGCCGCTACGACTGGTAATCGGGGGTCTCGCTGTAAGTTTCCGGCCCACGGTGTATGGGCTCAATGTTATTTGGGTTCGGGTTCTGGGCCTGGTCTGTAACCGCTTCCTTTGCCATATTGGATTAGGTTTAGACCCACATGGAGAAGTACTATAAATACTTCTCATACTCCTCTGTAATCTGTAATCTCCTCGATATAGTGAAATCGGCTCTCTCTCGCCCGTGGACGTAGCTAACACACATCGTGTTAGTGAACCACGTAAATCGTGTGTCGTGTTTTCGATTCTCGCTTTCGTATTCTTGCTTTGTTGATTCCGGCGATTTCCCGATCCGTAGCAGCGCGTTTATAACAAAACACTTTGAGTTAGAAGAATAGTGTTGCTTCTAACTATGCAGGAGATAGAACAGAGTTGCTGTAAGTTCCTCTGGGGGGTGGATGATGACTCCATGAGAATGAAAGTAGTCATGGCCTGGGATTTGATAGCAATTCCAAAGAAAGAAGGGGGGCTTGGCATTCGCTGTCTAAAAACTTGGAATATAGCCTGCACTACGAGACACATATGGGCCCTGCTTGCAAAAGAAGGGTCCTGGTGGGTTGCGTGGAATTACTTATATCGTATTAAACAGCTAAGTTTCTGGGAATTAAGAGTGAGCAGCACATCTTCTTGAATTTGGAAGAGATTACTAAAGGTAAGGGATAAGGTGGAAGGTTTTTTTCGATGTTGGGGTACACAGGTTTATTGGAAGGATAAAAGGGTGTTGAAGTATTCAGTAAAACAGGTCTGGCAGGATTTACAGCCTGTTAGACCTTCAGTCCCTTGA